TTATTGATGAAAAATGGTTACAAAATAGAGGAAAATGCAAAGTCAAAAAGCCACAGTAAAAATCAGCAATCACAAATATCCATGAACTAGATCAAAAACCAAAAGCAACACTGTAAAATCCTGGAACCTGTTAGCAATCCACTAACCGTACTTGGAGCACTAGAAGCCTCTTGGGATGAAGGCCACGGGAAACGGGAGATCTGCCAAGGTAATGCCTCAGTCTAAAACGATGCCTGATCTAAAGAGTCAACCCGGCGAGAGGCACTTAAAGCCGAGGAAACTGTTTCGTGACACGCCTCCAGGCTTTGAAGCCCTTGTTTCTTTTTCTTTTAATCTGCTTGACCTTCGCAGACTCTGCGATTCACTCCTGTTTCTCCAGATCTGTCCTCTTCTATCCTCATTAAGGATCCCAGGTGTTAACCTCTCTGGAGAGCTATCACCGCTTGACCCTGAAACATTCTCAGGAGATTGTGTACTTTTCACTTCCCAACCCTTCCAAGCCTGCAGGAGTTTCTTCTACACTGACCTCAGAATCAACATTTTCATTAGCATCAGGAGCATCAGAAAATACATTTTCAGTAGCATCAGGAAATACAATCAGAGAAGCAGGTTCAGGTTCAGGTTCAGACCCAGGCTGAACCCCAACACAGAGACATTGTTGTGGCTGAGATGTTCTGTGATGATGAGGATGATGGGATTCAGATTCCTGGCTCTTTTTCTGTGCCTCAGATTTCTGGGCCTGCGAGTCCCACAGATAGTGCAGAGTCAACATCAACACAGCAGTTCTCAAGAGAAAAGAATTTTAACGAAGGAGATAGTGAACAGGTGGGGAGGCATTTGCCTCCTTCCCATGTTGATACTGAAAGTACTGAAATCCTTGATAGTGACCTGACCCAGCAAGCTTGTCTTGATTTGCGGGTCAGGCAGAGTTCTTGTTTGGCTGGCAGATGAGAACCCAGCTCAGTGAAAGGTCAGCGCAATGTTTTCATGTTAGAAAGGTATTTAGGCTTCTTGCAAGCCAAGGGAAAGCGTCAGTTCAACATAGCTTATTAGCCTGGAAGCTTCATCGAATAACCTTAGCCTGGAAAGCAGTACGCTTGGGATTTCTTGCATTGTGATTCATGGGGCAATTGTTTCATTGCTTGTACCTGGTACTCTGGTTTGAACTTTGCTTTTACCTGAAGATCTATATTCTGCATTTAACCTTAATCTTTGGAACTTTGCAATGCTTATTCTTTATTTTGACTTGGATTTTTTCCTCAATAAACTATAAAATTACAGCTGTTGTGTGGTGGTGTTTGGGAGCAAAGTGAAGCTTACTCTGAGTTGCAACAGACATGAGACTAAGTATTAGGGACCCTTCTGCCGGTATCAGATGGCTTTCCTTTGTCTGCTGTGATTAATTTCCTAACTTTTAGGCCTTGGAAAAGCTCAGGAACTGAGGCAGGCATTTTGTGAGATGGTGCATGTAAACAGCCATCTTAGAGTACCCATTTCCTAGAGGGGGCGGAGATTAGGAGCAGCCTGGAGGGAAATGTGGAGAGCTTTGTAATTGGCTGGGAGAGAGCGCGAGCGGAGCTTAACTAGAGTGCAGGGGGAAAAAATGCCTGAAAAGGGGTGTTTTAAAATCTGACAGTTCAGTCAGGGTCTGTGTGTCAAAGAAGAGAGTCAGGGTTGGTGTGTTGAAGAAGGAGGCTAGGTTTTGGGAGAGTTAGGAGAAGAGAGGTTAGAGAAGCTACAAGTTGCTAAGTTAGTTAGAGTTTATAGATAGCTATTAGGCAGAATAGCTGGTATAGAGAAAAGGCAGATCCAAGGGAAAGGACAGTCTGGAGTTTTAGGAATACTAGTCAGAGGGAAGTCTGCTAATTTCAAGAAGGAGGGAATGAAGAATTGTTTTTGGAACTAAGTCTTGAACCGTTTTAAAGTAACCATACGCTCCAACTCATTAGTGCAACCATTAAGCTTAAGTGCCTGTATTGTTGAAGTTCACACAATAAACAATATTGTTCTTTGTTAAACAACAACTGTCTCAAGAGTGCCTCTATGTGAAAAAGTTCCATAGCAGTTTAAGGAAACAGAGTTATAAGATTGGTAGCAGCAAATATTAAGGAGACTCTCAGTGATTTTTACTTCAGAATTCAGAGCCCTGAGTGCGAATCCAGCAGAGTCCAGTTTACTTAAAGCCTCTAGCCAAACTAAAAGCTAAACATTCCTTTGAAGTGTGGTGGTAGCCAGTGTGCATACTAGAATTATCTCAACAGACAGTGTGATGGTGGCAAAGTCCCAGCAGCCTCCAAACACTTCATTGAATTTATATAATAATCTTACTGCCTACTACAGGGAAAACCAGCTGATTCCTAATCCATCTAAAACACAGACATGTGCCTTTCACCTTAAGAACAGACAAGCATCCAGAGTTCTGAGGATTATTACCTGGGAAGGAATCCCACTGGAACATTGCAGCACACCCAAATACCTGGGAGTCAATCTGGACCGTGCTCTTACCTACAAGAAGCACTGCCTGAACATAAAGCAAAAAGTGGGTGCTAGAAACAATATCATACGAACGCCGACTGGCACAACCTGGGGATCACAACCAGACACAGTGAAGACATTTGCCCTTGCGCTATGCTACTCTGCTGCTGAGTATGCATGCCCAGTGTGGAACACATCTCACCACACTAAAACAGTGGATGTGGCTCTTAATGAGACATGCCGCATTATCACAAGGTGTCTGCGCCCTACACCACTGGAGAAATTACACTGTCTTAGCCGGTATTGCACCACCTGACATCCGCCGGGAAGTAGCAGCCAATAGTGAAAGGACCAAGGCAGTGACATCTCCAGCTCATCCCTTGTTTGGGTATCAGCCAGCACGTCAATGACTTAAATCAAGAAATAGTTTTCTAAGATCTACAGAGACACTCACTGGAACACCTCAGCAAGCGAGAGTCCAAAAGTGGCAGGCTCAAACCCAGAACCTCAATCAATGGCTGATACCAAATGAGAGACTCCCCCCTGGGCACACAGAAAACTGGACGACTTGGAAGGCGCTGAACAGACTGCGCTCTGGCACCACGAGATGCAGAGCCAACCTTAAGAAATGAGGCTACAAAGTGGAATCCACGAGTGTGGAGAAGAGCAAACCACTGACCACCTGCTGCAATGCACCCTGAGCCCTGCCACATGTACAATGGAGGACCTCCTTGCGGCAACACTAGAGGCACTCCAAGGGGCCAGATACTGGTCAAAGGACATTTAATCAACTACCAAGCTTGCAAACTTTGTGTGCTGTTTGTTTGTTTTGTTAAAAATGAAATACAATCTGTCTGGTTGCTCCTGACACGATAAATAAATAATAAAATATAATAATATTTCACATCTGCCTACTCCACAGAGTTTTGCAAACATTTCATGTTGGTGACACCACTTGTGAGGTATGCATCGTTTCACGAGATACGTCATTCTGACTCACAAACCAACACCCTTATAAGAGATAAAACTACATACATAAATTGTAATGACAAATGTGTGGAGACACAACATATCTTGTGAAAACTTTCCACATATATAATTAAAATATCCAACATATTGGCTCTCTCGCTTCACATTTGCATGACACGCCTGCACACTGCAGCGGACACACTGATATGTTGCAACACAGAGTTTGGAAAGCTCTGATCTGCAGTGTTATAGGAGTTGCGTTCACTGCAAGAATACAAGGCTCTGTACCTCATCCAGGCCCCGCAATGAGATGTGATGGGTCCACCAATAATCCAGCGAGATCTGGATCCCAAAACGCAGTGACCTGCAGGAAAAGAGGCCAGGCTTGTTATATCCACCCACAATCAAAGTTTTGTACCATCTATCTATTCAACCATATCTCTCTAAGCCAGTGGTTCTCAATCTGGGGTCCCCAGATGTTTTTGGCCTACAACTCCCAGAAATCTCAGCCAGTTTATCAGCTGTTAGGATTTCTGGGAGTTATAGGCCAAACACATCTGGGGACCCCAGGTTGAGAACCACTGCTCTAAGCTATATATCCAAGTATATCTATCTATCTGTCTATCTATCTACGTATTCAAACAACAGGGAAGGAGATTCCACCTAAACATGAGGAAGAACTTCCTGACTGTGAGAGCTGTTCAGCAGTGGAACTCTCTGCCCTGGAGTGTGGTAGAGGCTCCTTCTTTGGAGGCTTTTAAGCAGAGGTTGGATGGCCATCTGTTGGGGGTGCTTCTTGGCAGAATGGGGTTGGACTGGATGGCCCACCAGGTCTCTTCCAACTAGGGGATTCTATTATTCTATCCATCCATCTTCCAAATCTATATCCAATCATATCTATCCATCCATCCATCCATCCATCCATCTTCCAAATCTATATCTACATCCAAGCATATCTATTTATCTATCTATCTATCTATCTATCTATCTATCTATCTATCTATCTATCCACCTATCCATCCATCTATCCATCCATCCACCCATCCACCAAATCTATATCTATATCTATATCCAAGCATATCCATCTATCCATCCGTCTATCCATCCATCTTCCAAACCTATATCTATATCCAAGCATATCATCCATCTATCCATCCATCTTCCAAATCTATATCTATATCCAAGCACATCTATCTATCTATCTATCTATCTATCTATCTATCTATCTATCTATCCATCTATCTATCCATCCATCTTCCAAATCTATATCTACATCCAAACATATCTATGCATCCATCTATCCATCCTTCTATCTTCCAAATCTATATCTACATCCAAACATATCTATCTATCTATCTATCTATCTATCTATCTATCTATCTATCTATCTATCTATCCATCCATCCATCCATCCATCCATCCATCCATCCATCCATCTTCCAAATCTATATCCATATCTATCTATCCATCCATCCATCCAACCATCCATCCATCCATCCATCTTCCAAATCTATATCCATATCTATCTATCTATCTATCTATCTATCTATCCACCCATATATATATATATATATATATATATATATATATATATATATCTTCCAATCTCTCTCTTCCTTCCTTTTCCACCTTGTAGTGTAGATGGAATCTCCTCTCTTGTAGTTTGAAGCCATTGTTCTTTCCTGCCTGCTACCCACCTGGTGAAGCGGCCGACGCCATCCACCAGCAGCCTCATTTTGCGCTGTTCCTGCTTCTCGGCCGTGGCGTAGCGGATCCCGGCCGCCAAGGGGAGCCCCACCGCCACTCCCAGGAAGATCTTCTTCGCCAGACCCCGCTGCCCACCAGAGCTGTGTGGAAAGGGAGAGACAGGCTGGGTGAGACGGACATCTGCCGGGAGGGCTTCGATAGTGTCTTCCTGTCAGGATGGCCTTTGGAGGTCCCTTCACGTATACACACAGAGCCTTTCCTGGCACACAACAACAAAATTGGCATACAACCCAAGTATATACAACAAGAGGAAGACACAGGTAAAAAGAAAACATACTTAAAGGTTACTAATCTCATGGGGAATTTTTTCAACAGTCTCACAGAAGAATGCATCACAGTTGCCCAAGAAATATGGAATTTTATTTATTTATTTATTATTTTATTTATTTATTTGCTGTATTTGTATACCGCCTTTCTCAGCCTATCGGTGACTCAAGGCGGTTTCCAACAAAACAGTATACACAGTATCATAGAACATTTTAAAGAATTTCAATTACATAAACCACAACAACAATAAAAACAACAGCATTAGCGTCTCCTAAAAACAACAACATTAGCATTTTATAACACCTTTTGTCCAATTTGAGAACCCTGTGAAAAATGGAATGCCTGTATTTCATAATAATAATAAATAAAACTTTATTTATATCCCACCCCATCTTCTCGTGGGGGCTCAGGGCGGCTAACGAACATAGAAAGGCAAACATTCAATGCCATCCAAAAGAGCTGATGGCAACACATTGCATCTTGCAGTCACCAAATCTCTTATCTGGGTGGGATGAATCAAAATACATAGAAGCTATACTGCCATGACTCCACGCTCCCATGGAATTAATGATGTGGTAGGGGAACAAGTTGTTTCCACATTTGCAAGCATTAAGAGTGCTTCCAAAGACAGGCCAATTGCTTTAATCTCTCTGAGAATCAAAGAATTTGATAACAGAGAGGGAATATAGCTATTTTCAAACATATACATTAGGTTTGAAAATGTATACGCAGCCAGAATTGTATAGCTCTCATCCATGCCAAGATTTCCAGAGTGGTTTTCACCCATCTCAATGCATAAAAGGCACACATCTAGGAAGCCCCATTAGCTTCTGGAGATACTTGGAAAGTGGTGCATTAAATGATTTATTGATTGCATAAATCCAGTAACAAAGAAACCATCCTAGAATCAAAAACATTTAGGGCAGAAGGGATATATTGGTCACCCTTCCTGTAGAAGTATCTATATATTGCTGCAATGTTGGTATGTGCAGAAGCCATGACTGCTTGTTGCTGCGAGAGTTGTGACAGGTGGTATCTATAGCAAATCCCAAGGTATTGAGGCCCTTTCCAGTTCTGTGTGTTGTGCCCTGGACTCACCTGTCCGGGCGGGACTCCGAGCGTTGGCGGCATCGCGGGGCCGAGAGCAGCCAGGGGCTCTTCTTGCGCTGCAGGAGCAGCAGGTGGAAGCGGCAGATGCGCACCTGCAGAACAACACAGGAGGAAGAGAGGACAGAGCTCAATCGCCTACTTCTTGGGAGGAGAGCAAGGACCAATCTTGATAAGATAATGAAGAGTAGAGACATCACACTGACAACGAAGATCTGCATAGTTAAAGCAATGGTATTCCCTGAAGTCACCTACGGATGTGAGAGCTGGACCAGAAGGAAGGCTGAGTGAAGGAAAGTAGATGCTTTTAGTGTTGGAGGAAAGTTCTGAGAATGCCTTGGACCACCAGAAGAGCCAACCAGTCCATACTTCAGGAAATAAAACCCAACTGCTCACTGGAGGGAAAGATAGTAGAGGTGAAGATGAAGTCCTTTGGCCACATCATGAGAAGAAAAGAAAGCTTGGAGAAAAGAACGATGCTGGGGAAAATTGAAGGAAAAAGGAAGAGGGGCCGACTAAGGGCAAGATGGATGGATGGATGGTATCCTTGAAGGGACTGGCTTGACCTTGAAGGAGCTGGGGGTGGCCATAGCCGACAGAGAGCTCTGGCCTGGACTGGTCCAGGAGGTCACCAAAAGTCGGAAGTGACTGAACGAATGAACAACAAATTCATCCATCTTCCAAATCTATGTCTATATCCCATCCATCCATCCATCCATCTTCCACATCTATGTTTTCATCATATCTCTATATACAAGAATATCTATCTATTGAACAATTTCTCTAAGCTAGATATCCTAGCATATCTATCTATCTATCTATCTATCTATCTATCTATCTATCTATCTATCTATCTATCTATCTATCTATCTATCCAATCTATATAGCCTATCATCTATCGATCCAATCATATATCTCTAAGCTATATATCCAAGCCTACCTATCTATTGAACCATATCTCTCTAAGCTATATATCCAAGCATATCTATCTATCTATCTATCTATCTATCTATCTATCTATCCATCCATCCATCTGTGTTCAATCATCTCTCTATATATCCAAGTATATCTATCTCTCCATCCATCCATCCTCCAAATCTGTGTTCAATCATCTCTCTCTATATCCAAGCATATCTATCTATCTATCTATCCATCCATCCTCCAAATCTGTGTTCAATCATCTCTCTATATCCAAGCATATCTATCTATCTATCTATCTATCTATCTATCTATCTATCTATCTATCTATCCATCCATCCTCCAAATCTGTGTTCAATTATCTCTCTCTCTATATCCAAGCATATCTATCTATCTATCTATCTATCTATCCATCCATCCATCCTCCAAATCTATGTTCAATCATATATCTCTCTATATCCAAGCCTATCTATCTATCTATCTATCTATCTATCTATCCATCCATCCATCCATCCTCCAAATCTGTGTTCAACCATCTCTCTATATCCAAGCATATCTATCTATCTATCTATCTATCTATCTATCTATCCATCCATCCATCCATCCATCCTCCGAATCTGTGTTCAATCATCTCTCTCTCTCTATCCAAGCATATCTATCTATCTATCTATCTATCTAGCCATCCATCCATCCTCCAAATCTGTGTTCAATCATCTCTCTATATATATCCAAGCATATCTATCTATCTATCTATCTATCTATCTATCTATCTATCTATCTAGTCATTTCTCTTAAGCTATATATCCAAGCATATCTGTCTGTCTATCTACTCATCCATCTTCCAAATCTATCTCTATATCCAAGTATCTATCTATCTATCTATCTATCTATCTATCTATCTATCTATCTATCCATCCATCCATCCATCCTTCCATCCTCCAAATCTGTGTTCAATCATCTCTCTCTATATCCAAGCATATCTATCTATCTATCCATCCATCCATCCATCCATCAAATCTGTGTTCAATCATATATCTCTCTATATCCAAGCCTATCTATCTATCTATCTATCTATCTGTCTGTCTGTCTGTCTGTCTGTCTGTCTGTCTGTCTGTCTGTCTGTCTGTCTGTCTGTCTGTCTGTCTGTCTGTCTACCTACCTACCTACCTACCTACCTACCTACCTATCTATCTATCTATCTATCTATCTATCTATCTATCTATCGAGCCATTTCTCTTAAGTTATATATCCAAGCATATCTGTCTGTCTGTCTATCTACTCATCCATCTTCCAAATCTATCTCTATATCCAAGCATATCTATCCATCCATCCATCTTCCAAATCTATGTGTTCAATCATATATCTCTCTATATCCAAGCATATCTATCTATCTATCTATCTATCTATCTATCTATCTATCATCCATCCATCTACCTATCAATCATATATCTCTAAGCTATATATCCAAGCCAATCTATCTATTGGAACCTATATATCCAAGCATACCTAGCGATCTATCTCTTTAAGCTATATATCCTATCCTATATCTCTAAGCCTACCAATCTATCCAATTCTATATCTCTAAGACTTGGAGATATAAGATTGGATAGATAAGTAGGCTTGGATACATAGCTTAGAGATATATGGTTCAATAGATAGGTTGCCTTGGATATATAGCTAAGAGTCTAAGCTATACATCCAAGCCAACCTATCTATTGAACCATATATCTCTAAGCTATGTATCCAAGCATATCTAGCTATTTATCTCCATAAGCTATATATCTAATCATCTATTGATCTATCCAATATCTCTTTAAGCTATATATCTAAGCCTATCTATTCAATCATACTTCTGTAATCTGCATATTCAACCATATATATCTTTGTATTTAATCAGATCTCTCTATGTATACAAGCATATGTATCTATTCAACCATATCTGTCTAATCTATATATTCAAGTATATCTATCTTCCAAATCTGTCTGTTCAATCTTATTTCTTTAATCTGTATATTCAAGCATCTCTACCTATCTAATCATATCTCAATCATCTCTATCAATCATCTATTGATCACTCCAATCATATCTGTAGTGTATCCAAGTCAGTCAGTCAATCAGTCTCTCTATCCATCCAGCTATCTATCTGTCTGTCCGTCCGTCCATCCATCCATCCATCCATCCATCCATCCATCCGGCTATCTATCTATCCATCCATCCATCCGGCTATCTATCTATCTATCCATCCATCCATCCGGCTATCTATCTATCCATCCATCCATCCGGCTATCCATCTATCCATCCACCCATCCGGCTATCCATCTATCCATCCACCCATCTGGCTATCCATCTATCCATCCATCCATCTGGCCATCTATCTATCCATCCGTCCATCTGGCTATCTATCTATCCATCCATCCATCCATCCTCCAAATCTATCTATTCAATCATGTCTATCTATCTATGTCATGCATATATCCAAGCATGACTATTTATCTATCTGTATATCTATCTGTCTCTCTATCCATCCATCCATCCAGCTATCTATCCATCCATCCATCCAGCTATCTATCTATCCATCCATCCATCCATTCGGCTATCTATCCATACATCCATCTGGCTATCCATCCATCCATCCATCTGGCTATCCATCCATCCATCCATCCATCCATCTGGCTATCTATCTATCTATCTATCTATCTATCTATCTATCTATCTATCTATCTATCCATCCATCCATCCATCCATCCATCCATCCATCCATCCATCCATCCTCCAAATCTATCTATTCAATCATGTCTATCTATCTATGTCATCTATATATCCAAGCATGATTATTTATCTATCTGTCTCTCTATCTATCTGTCTATCTATCCGTCCATCCATCCATACATCCATCTTCCAAATCTATCTATTCAATCATGTCTATCTATCTATGTCATCTATATATCCAAGCATGACTATCTATCTATCTATCTATCCATCCATCCATCCTCCAAATCTATCTATTCAATCATGTCTATCTATCTATATCATCTATATATCCAAGCATGATTATTTATCTATCTGTCTCTCTATCTGTCTGTCTCTCTATCCATCCATCCGTCCATCCATACATCCATCTTCCAAATCTATCTATTAAACCATGTCTATCTATGTCATCTATATATCCAAGCATGAATATTGACTATCTTGGAGAGAGAGAGTAGAATATAAATAAAGTTTATTATTATTGTTCCTCCCTCTTTAATAATCTATCCAATTATCCAAATCTATCTGTCCAACTACCTATCAATATCTATCCAATTATCCTAATCTCTCTGTCCATGCATGCATCTACCATCCTTCCATCCACCCAAATTAAGCTTTTCTTTTCTCCCAGGATGTGACCGAGGGCCTCTTACAGGATTTCTAGCACTTCGATAACTTAAAACATCAGTTGAGGATTTAGAAATAGAGTTTAATGACCCAAAGAAGGCAAATGGTCAAGGGAAGGTGGACCAAGCAGAAGGCATTCCTTCCATGCAAAAGCTCTGCTGATCCTCGAGCCAGACTACTAATTTGGAAGGGATTGTTTTGTTTGAAGTAACCGGAGGAATGGGCGGCAGACAGACCTCAACCTCTTGTTCCCGGCCCCGAAAGGGCCCCCCATGGTCAGCGGCTGGAGGGGATTTATCAAGAAGGACATCAGCCGGGCAGATGGAGGGGTCAGCCCAGGCCAAGGCTGGACCGCCAGCAAACCCACTCTTAGCCCCATTTAGGAAGAATTATTATCCGTGAGACCGAAGGAGCGCCAAAGCAAAACACTTCTCCCAAGTCCTTAGAAGTAGTAGTAGTAATAATAGTAATAATAATGGGGGGGGGGGGGGGGCTCCCTATCTAAGTAGTGGCTGGGGATGATGAGATATAAAGGAACAAAATAAGCTATAGTACCAATAATAGTAGTTGTCGTAGTTATAATAATAGTAAGTAATAATAATAGTAGTAGTAATACTAATATGGAGAGGCTCCCTATCTAAGTAGTGGCTGGGGATGATGAGATATAAAGGAACAAAATAAGCTATAGTACCAATAATAGTAGTTGTCGTAGTTATAATAATAGTAAGTAATAATAATAGTAGTAGTAATACTAATATGGAGAGGCTCCCTATCTAAGTAGTGGCTGGGGATGATGAGATATAAAGGAACAAAATAAGCTATAGTACCAATAATAGTAGTTGTCGTAGTTATAATAATAGTAAGTAATAATAATAGTAGTAGTAATACTAATATGGAGAGGCTCCCTATCTAAGTAGTGGCTGGGGATGATGAGATATAAAGGAACAAAATAAGCTATAGTACCAATAATAGTAGTTGTCGTAGTTATAATAATAGTAAGTAATAATAATAGTAGTAGTAATACTAATATGGAGAGGCTCCCTATCTAAGTAGTGGCTGGGGATGATGAGATATAAAGGAACAAAATAAGCTATAGTACCAATAATAGTAGTTGTCGTAGTTATAATAATAGTAAGTAATAATAATAGTAGTAGTAATACTAATATGGAGAGGCTCCCTATCTAAGTAGTGGCTGGGGATGATGAGATATATAGGAACAAAATAAGTTATGGTAATAATAATAGAAGTAGTAATAATAATAAGTAGTAATAACAGTAAATAATAATAATAATAGGGAGGGGCTCCCTCTGTAAGCAATGGCTGGGGAGGATGAGATATATAGAAACAAAATAAGCTACAGTAATGATAATAATAGTAGTAATAATAGTAGTAGTAGTAGTAGTAGTAGTAGTTGATATATACAATAGGGAGGGGCTCCCTCTGTAAGTAATGGCTGGGGATAAAGGAACAAAATAAGGTATAGTAATGATAATAATTATAGTAATAGTAGTAATAATAATAGGTAGGGGCTCCTTCTGTAAGCAATGGCTGGGGATGATGGGATGTAAAGGAACATAAGATATAGTAATAGTAATGATAATAATAATAACAGGGTGGGGCTCCTTCTGTAAGCAATGGCTGGGGATGATGGGATGTAAAGGAACATAAGATATAGTAATAGTAATGATAATAATAACAGGGTGGGGCTCCTTCTGTAAGCAATGGCTGGGGATGGTGGGATGTAAAAGAACAAAGTAAGATATAGTAATAGTAATGATAATAATAATAATAATAATAACAGGGTGGGGCTCCTTCTGTAAGCAATGGCTGGGGATGATGGGATGTAAAGGAACAAAATAAGCAACAACAACAGTAATAGGGAGGGAATAGTAATAGTAAATAGTAACAATAATAATAACGACAACAACAATAATAATAGGGAGGGTATAATAATAGTAACAGTAATAATAACGACAACAATAATAACAGGGAAAGTGGTAATAATAATAATGACAACAATAGTATTTGGGAGGGAGTAATAATTGTAGTAATAATAATAATAATAATGACAACAACAACAATAATAATAGGGAGGGTATAATAATAGTAATAATAATAATGACAATAATAACGGGGTATAATAATAGTAATAATAATAATAACAACAATAACAATAACAGGGAGGGTATAATAATAGTAATAATAATAATAATAATAACAACAACAACAACAACAGGGAGGGTATAATAATAGTAGTAGTAATAATAATAATAATGATGATGATGACAACAATAGTATTAATAACGACAACAATAGTAATAAAAAGGAGAGTATAATAATACTAGTAATAACAATAACAGGGAGGGTAATAGTAATAGTAATAACAACAATAACATGGAGGGTATAATAATAGTAATAGTAATCACAATAATAACAGGGAGAGTATAATAATAGTAATAATAATAATAACAACAACAATAACAACAGGGAGATTATAATAATAATAACAATAATAATAACAGGTAGGATACAATAATAGTAGTAATAATAACGACAACAATAATAACAGGGACTGTATAATAATAGTAATAATAATAATAACAGGTAGGATACAATAATAGTAGTAATAATAACGACAACAATAATAACAGGGACTGTATAATAATAGTAATAGTAATCACAATAATAACAGGGAGAGTATAATAATAGTAATAATAATAATAACAACAACAATAACAACAGGGAGATTATAATAATAATAACAATAATAATAACAGGTAGGATACAATAATAGTAGTAATAATAACGACAACAATAATAACAGGGACTGTATAATAATAGTAATAATAATAATAACAGGTAGGATACAATAATAGTAGTAATAATAACGACAACAATAATAACAGGGACTGTATAATAATAGTAATAGTAATCACAATAATAACAGGGAGAGTATAATAATAGTAATAATAATAATAACAACAACAATAACAACAGGGAGATTATAATAATAATAACAATAATAATAACAGGTAGGATACAATAATAGTAGTAATAATAACGACAACAATAATAACAGGGACTGTATAATAATAGTAATAATAATAATAACAGGTAGGATACAATAATAGTAGTAATAATAACGACAACAATAATAACAGGGACTGTATAATAATAGTAATAGTAATCACAATAATAACAGGGAGAGTATAATAATAGTAATAATAATAATAATAACAACAATAACAGGGAGATAATAATAGTAATAGTAATCACAATAATAACAGGGAGAGTATAATAATAGTAATAATAATAATAATAACAACAATAACAGGGAGATTATAATAATAATAATAACAATAATAATAACAGGTAGGATACAATAATAGTAGTAATAATAACGACAACAATAATAACAGGGACTGTATAATAATAGTAATAGTAATCACAATAATAACAGGGAGAGTATAATAATAATAATAATAATAATAACAACAACAATAACAACAGGGAGATTATAATAATAATAACAATAATAATAACAGGTAGGATACAATAATAGTAGTAATAATGACAACAATAATAACAGGTAGAGTATAATAATAATAATAATAGTAATAATGACAACAATAATAACAGGGAGGGTATAATAATAATAGTAATAATAATAATAATAATAATAATAGGAAGGGTATAATAATAGTAATAATAATAATAATAATGACAACAATAACAACAGGGAGGGTGTAATAATAGTAATAATAATAGTAATAATAATAAGGACAACAAGAGAGGCCTTCTCTCTGGGCAGTGGCAATTGGGAGCAAAGAGAGAAGAAAGCCTAGAATTTTCCCGGGAAAAAATTTCCCGGGAAAAAATTTCCCGGGAAAAAATTTCCCGGGGAAAAAAAAGGCGTGTGTACCGTAAGGCTGGGAAAAGGCGCGCCGGCAGAAAAGCCAGCAAGCCAGCCAGGGTGAGGGTTAACCGTAATGCCCGGAAGAGAGGGGCACCCACCCACGCACCCAAAGGCGCTCACCCACCATTGCCGCCGGTGCGCTCCCTCCAAACGCCGAAGCCTGTCTCCTTCAAGCCCAGGGCCGCTCTCCCATTGGCTCCGCCTCACCCCAAGCCACGCCCACCGTCTTCCTCGCCATTGGCTCAGGAGCCCCAAGAGGCGTGGCCGTCGATGGGGCGGGTGGGCGGGGCCACGCCTCTATTGTCACCTCCTAGGGAGAGGGAGGGGCTTGCTCCGGAGAAGCCACGCCCCTCTCAAGACAGGGCGTGACGTCACCGCGGGGTTTAAAGGGGCCGCGCACGAAGGAGTCCCACTGCGCATGCTCACTGGGGAAAGCTACTCCAATGACTAGGATGATGTTGATTATTGCTATTATCATTGATTATTAATGACTTATTGGTAATTATGATAGTTCATAAATATTATTGATTATTAATGATCTATTGGTAATTATGATAGTTCATAGTTATTATCAATGACCTATTGGTAGTTATGACAGTTCAGAGTTGTTATTGATTATTGATTATTAATGATCTATTGGTAATTATGATCGTTCATAGTTATTATCAATGACCTATTGGTAGTTATGACAGTTCAGAGTTGTTATTGATTATTGATTATTGATTATTAATGATCTATTGGTAATTATGATAGTTCATAGTTATTATCAATGACATATTGGTAGTTATGACAGTTCAGAGTTGTTATTGATTATTAATGATTGATTATTAATGACCTATTGGTAATTATGACAGTTCATAATGATTATTAATGATTGATTATTAATGATCTAATTGTAATTATATACTTCCCTATTATCAATTATTAATGATCTAATGGTAATTATGATACTTCTCTATTATCGTTTATTAATGATCTATTGGTAATTATGATACTTCCCTATTATCGATTATTAATGACCTATTCGTAGTTATGATACTTCCCTATTATTGATTATTAATGACCTATTGGTAATTATGATACTTCCCTATTATCGATTATTAATGATCTATTGGTAATTATTATACTTCCCTATGATCGATTATCAATGATCTAATGGTAATTATGATACTTTCCTATGATCAATTATTAATGATCTATTGGTAATTATGATACTTCCCTATTATCGATTATTAATGAACTATTGGTAATTATGATACTTCCCTATTATCGATTATTAATGATCTATTGGTAATTATGATACTTCCCTATGATCGACGATTAATGATCTATTGGTAATTATGATACTTCCCTATTATTGATGATTAATGATCTATTGGTAATTCCTTATTATCGATTATTAATGATCTAATGGTAATTATGATACTTCCCTATTATCGATGATTAATGATCTATTGGTAATTATGATAGTTCATAGTTATTATTGGTTATTAATTATCTATTGCTAATTATGATAGCTCAACTCAGAAATTCTGAAGACGATGTTTTCCAAGCCTGAGAAACTATGTCTCCCAGGACTGCTGTTCAAAAGAGCTCTTTACCTCATAGGTTCTAAGGTTGTTTTCCTTATCCATTCCCATCCTTGCAATGTGTATGGAATTGTATTGTTGTTGTTCATTCATTGAGTCGTCTCCGACTCTTCGTGACCTCATGGACCAGCCCACGCCAGAGCTCCCGGTCGGCCGTCACGGAATTGTATTATTTCTATGTATTTCCCCTTCCTCATGCCTCGATCTGCATACAAGGGCGCCTGACTTAGATATCTGTATGTACTTGGGAAAATTGTGTCTCTCATGTGCATGAAAAATTCCTTAAAAGTTCCCTGCCTTTTCTATGTGTTCCTATGTTTTGTTAATAATATATTTTGTGCTTCTGAGATTTCCTGTTCATTTCCCTGGATGGAAAACTGTATTCCTGACCACAAAAGGAAGTCTTTGCATCCCAGATGATCATACAGAGACTCCAAGCTGGGGATTTAACAATCAACTCCTGGCCTCACCCATACTATGGACATTATCTGGACATATGTTGTTTAACATAAACATGAAGCCGTTGGGAGAGATCATCCGGAGTTTCGGGGTGCGGTGTTACCTGTACGCAGATGATCTCCAACTATGTCACTCCTTTCCACCTGCTACTAAGGAGGCTGTCCAAGTCCTGAACCGGTGCTTGGCCGCTGTGACGGACTGGATGAGGAACAACAGATTGAAACTAAATCCAGACAAGACAGAGGTACTCCTGGTCAGTCGAAAGGCCGAACAGAGCATAGGGTTACAGCCTGTGCTGGACGGGGTCGCACTCCCCTTGAAGGCGCAGGTTCGCAGCTTGGGTGTGATCTTGGACTCATTGCTGAACCTGGAACCCCAGGTCTTGGCAGTGGTCAGGGGAGCTTTTGCACAATTAAAACTTGTGCGCCAGCTGCGCCTGTACCTTGGGAAGTCTGACTTGGCCACGGTGGTCCATGCTTTGATTACATCTCCTTTAGACTACTGCAACGCTCTCTACGTGGGGTTGCCTCTGAAGGCTGCCCGGAAGCTCCAACTAGTCCAACGAGCGGCAGCCATGATACTAACAGGAGCGGGGTACAGGGAGCATACTGCTCCTCTGTTGCGCCAGCTCTACTGGTTGCCAATTAGCTTCCAAGCACAATTCAAAGTGCTGGTTTTGACCTATAAATCCCTAAACGACTCCGGCCTAGTTTACCTGTCCGAACGGATTCTCCCCTATGAACCATCAAGGTTGATAAGATCTTCCGGAGGGGCCCTGCTCTCGGTCCCACCATCCTCGCAATTGCATCTGGTGGGGACGAGGGACAGGGCCTTCTCGGTGGTGGCCCCTCGGCTCTGGAACTCTCTCCCATTGGAGATCAGAGCTGTCCCTTCCCTCCTGACCTTTAGAAAGTTGGTGAAAACCTGGCTTTGTAATCTGGCATTTGATGAGTGAGGCAATGGCTTTTGACCACACGGACGGATGGGATGAATAGTGATTTCTGCTAACGGCTTGGCTTTATATAATTATATGATAGTACTTTAATGTGTTTATATTAGTGTATTATTGATGTGATGTTTTTAAACTATTGTGTATGAACCCCCTTGTTGTAAACCGGCCTGAGTCCCTCGTTGGAGGTGAGAAGACCGGTAAATAAAAGTTCTAAATTTATTTATTTATTTATTTATTTATTTCAAAGTTTTCTATACCGAGCTTCTCAACCTCTTTGAGGGACACAGCCCGGTTTCCAACCATAAAAACACATACAGTCATTAAAATATCACAATTACAATTACAAAGCATATTTAAAATAACACGATATATAAAATAACACTATATATAAAACTACGGTGGTCAGTCGCCATATTAAAATCAAATATACATAATCCGCCATCCAGAATCCTAGGGTGTTGTCTCATTCATCAAAGGCATGACTCCACAACCATGTCTTCACCCGTTTCCTGAATGTCAGGATAGACGGGGCGGTTCTGACCTCCGGTGGAAGAGAGTTCCAGAGTCGCGGGGCCACCACCGAGAAGGCCCTGTCCCTCGTCCCCACCAGGCGCGCTTGCGAGGCTGGTGGGACCGAGAGCAGGGCCTCTCCAGATGATCTTAATAATCTTGATGGTTCGTAGGGGAGAATACGTTCGGAGAGGTAAACCGGGCCGGAGTTGTTTAGGGCTTTATAGGTTAACACCAGCACTTTGAATTGTGCTTGGAAGCTAATTGGCAGCCAGTGGAGCTGGTGTAACAGCGGAGGGGTGTGCTCCCTGTACCCAGCACCGGTTAGTAGTCTAGGTTAGTAGTCTGGCTGCCGTGCGTTGGACTTGCTGCAGCTTCCGGGCAGTCTTCAGAGGCAACCCCACGTAGAGAGCGTTGCAGTAGTCTAAACGGGATGTAACCAAGGCGTGTACTACCATGGCCAAGTCAGCCTTCCCAAGGTATGGACGCAGCTGGCGCACAAGTTTTAGTTGTGCGAAAGCTCCCCTGACCACCGCCGAAACCTGAGGTTCCATGTTCAGCGATGAATGCAGGAGAACTCCCAAACTGCGTACCTGTGCTTTCAGGGGGAGTGTGACCCTGTCCAGCACAGGCTGTAACCCCGCACCCTGTTCGGTCTTACGACTGACCAGGAGTATTGTCTGGATTTAGTTTCAATCTGTTGTCCCTCATCCAGACCGTTACAGCGGCCAAGCACTGGTTCAGGACTTCAACAGCCTCCTTAGTAGCAGGTGGAAATGAGTAATAGAGTTGGACATCATCAGCATACAGATGACATCGCACCCCAAAACTCTGGATGATCTCTCCCAACGGCTTCATGTATATGTTAAACAACATAGGGGACAGTACTGAACCCTGCGGGACTCCACAGTACAATGGCCGAGGGGTCAAGCAGGAGTCCCCTAGTGACACCTTCTGGGAGCGACCCTCGAGAAAGGACCGGAGCCACTGCAAGGCAGTACCCCCAAGACCCATTCCCGCGAGGCGTCCCAGAAGGATACCGTGGTCGACGGTATCGAAGGCCGAAGAGAGGTCCAGCAGAACCAACAGGGACACACTCCCCCTGTCCACTTCGCGGCGAAGATCATCCACTAAGGCAACCAAGGCCGTTTCAGTACCATGCCCCGGCCTAAAGCCCGACTGTGCCGGATCTAGATAGTCTTTGTCCACCAGGAATTCCTGGAGTTGCGAGGCCACCACACGTTCCAAGACTTTGCCCAAGTAGGGGAGATTGGAAACTGGCCGAAAGTTGACGAATTGAGTGGGGTCCAGTGATGGTTTTTTCAACAGCGGTTTAATGACAGCTTGTTTTAAGCTGGCTGGAATATTGCCTTCCCGAAGGGAGGTATTAACCACCTTACTTACTTACTTACTTAGGCAATCCCTCGCTTTCCGAGGAAGATTATCCTCCAACATTCCTGTGGGTCCGTATGTGGTTGTGGAGCCCTATTCTTGCTCTGCATCTTCTTCCGCAGAGAGGGCATTGGTTTCCAGGTGGAAGGCGGTCTCGGCCAGGGTTAGCTTGACGCGCCTTCCTCTTGGCACGTTTCTCTTTTTCACCCTCCACTCGTGCCTCCTCAAATTCTGCAGCACTGCTGGTCACAGCTAACCTCCAGCTGGAGCGGTCAAGGGGCAGGGCTTCCCAGTTCTCCGTGTC